GTTCCCTCGTCTGAGGTTGAGTAGGGGTAGGCCAAGGTCCCCAACTAGAGGTCGTAGAAGAAGAAGAAGCAGCAGCTTCATCCCATGCGGAAGGCTTTGTTGCAGAAGAAGAGCTTCCAATATCCATGATTGCAAATTTGTGCTCCAAAGAATCATAAGCAGTAGGTTCTTGGTTCGAAGGCCGGTGATTTGCGAAAGCTTCCATAACTTGTATAAATAGAGGTAGATGAAGGTGGCTAATCAATGCATGAAGGTTCTTTCGAGGACGAACAGCATCATCAAATAACTCTTCGTATGCTTGATCAATATAAGAGGAGATTGGCTTGGCCATAAAAGATGTATCAGTCTTTTCAAATACTGAGATAGTGGGGATGTTCAAGGATTAGAAGAGAATTTAATGCAAATGTTTCATTGATGAATGATGGTTGCATTTCTGAAAAATGTAAAGCCCATGCACGTTCTAAGACGTGGGTAAAATACCTTGATCCACTAATATCACCAAGTATTGGGTATATTAGTGCGGGGGGTAATGTTGGCTACATATTTTGTATAAGTCAATCACAGTTCGACATGTGGTAGGATGAGGGCAATACGGGAAGACAATTCAAATCTTCAATCGTAATCACACACGTGACAGTTAGTATTGGTTATTTTGGATCTGCATAGCACTGGATCAGCAAAGAGATACAAAATGACGTGGCTTTAACGATTACTCATATTTAAATTCAAAATCAAGAGGGAAGTCTAACTGCAGATATAACATAGTGGAGCCAACATATAGGCAGCATGATCAGTGATCATGGAGGGATGATTCGACGGTTAGAAATGCATTTCGACAGTTGTCATTAAGAAGTATAAATAGTAGAGAAGGCCCCAGAAAGAGCTCCAGACTCAAATCCAAAAACCAATTTTATCTACTTTATTTTTCCTTCCAGTTTTTACATTTCTTATTCTTTACATTTCTGTACTTTAAATTCCTGCACTGCATTTCATTCATAGGAGTAGTTTTAAGTAATTTGTTGTTGTAAACCTCTACGAGGTTGATTTGGATCTTTGAAAGTCTTCCATTTCACTTAATGAAATGTTACAATTGTTCTTCATTTAATCATTATTTACTTAATTCTCCTAAACAAAGTCACCAGTAAAAGTCCTCTTCATTGAGGCTGAAAGAATTAAAACACAATCGTCTGATAATTGATTGGCAATTAATATTCTGTAAGGACTGATTGATCATTGCTGGCACACTCACAATTACAATAATAACATTCGAAAGTCAAAAAAACCAATATATAAGTTCAAATTATCGATACGAATTCAATAAATTCATGCGGATTCAATAAATTCACGCGACTAACATTACAGTCCAATCCAATTATTAATTGGATACAAGCCACACCCTTTTAATTTCTCTCCGATGGTGTTGGTTTTATTGTCATTGCTCAACCAAAAACTGTGGTGCCAATGAGACTCAAATAAAGGTTCATAGCTGATTGAGATCCTATGTGAGGTTATGCACAACCACTTTATGGTTGGAATGTTAAAGATATCTTAGCTGAGATAACATACACACAATCCTCCTTACCAACTATTTTACCCTATATGAGTTGAGATCTTTTGCTAAGTATCTGGACCACATTACTATAATTGGATCATGGGCCCATATTTTGGAAAGCAACCCAAATGCATACACAGTGAGAATTATAAAAAGATAAGCAAAATTACTAGCTAATTATATTGATTGGAGTTATTACCTAATAAATTTTGAGCGCTGTTTTACAAATATATTAATTTTGAAAATTGTATTTTTTATTATTGAGAATTGTTGAAAAACGGGGAGTTTGTTTTGAGAATGATGTGAACTAAGAATTGTGGGTTAATGGGTGAGTTGCGATGGTAAAATTGAAAATGTGAACCTATTAATTTGGAGCAAAACTTGTTGGGTAAATAGAGATTGGCTCATAAATCTCTCAAAAATAAATACGATTTGGCTTCTTTCAAGTTGTCATCTCAATTTGAGAGAGCGTTCGAATTTGGTAGGCCATTTTGGAACCAATTTCGATGATCCAAACTGTTCATTTTTTAGGACTCATTAAGTAAAATATTCATGCAAAAAATCAAAATGATTGGATATTGGTAGCTATATGTTTAAATTATATTTGTTTTTAAAAAATAGACTATAAATATAATTTTAAGGATAACTATCTATTTTTTGTAATACAAATTTGATTAAAAAATATAACTACCAATATCTAATCTTGATTTTTTGCATAAATATTTTACTTAATAAATCCTAAAAAGCAAACAGTTCAGATTGCTGAAGTCAGTCGTAAAATAGACTTGCCATACTCAAATGCTCTCTCAAATTGAGATGACTGATATGAGAGAAGCGGAACCATAATAAATATTGTTATAGTAGATAATGGATGGTATTATATTCTATATATAGGTAGTGGTCCCACATTAAATTATTAGAAGCCTATTTTGGGAAGTGAGTTAAAAGTCACTTCTCAGTTTTTAACCCATTTCCTTCTCTCACAAAAAAACTAAAAAAAAGTCAAAAAAATAGCTTTTAACCATCTTTCCAAAACACCCCAGAGAAAGTATTGTTTACAACATAATGGAACATTGACAATGTTAACAATTGTAGATCTTATTCAAATAAGATTCAAGAATTCGAGTTGGAGATGAAGGTTTGACTAGTTAATTTAAGGTAACTCAAGTTCAATTAGACTAAGTTAGGTTGTGATGTGTTATCATTATTTTGTTAATAAATATAAATGATAAGACCTATTAAACTAATACAATGATAACATGTGAGATAGTATGCAAAATATGATAAAATAAACAGCGGTGTTAGCGGCCTCGAATTTGCCTCGACAGCATTTTTTCTTTTTCTTTTTTTGGGTGGTGGCTGTGTTAGTTAGTTAATTTTTTTATTTGGTTTTTTTTTTTTTTAAAGGGTGGTTTATGTGTAGAAATGTGTCAAAAAATTAGACATTCCATACCAACTCATCGCATAAAATTATATGAAATTAACAAAATTTAACCAATAGCCTAACTGATCAGCCAATTTTATCACTCAACCAGTCCAACCTAATTGACTGATCAGTTAAGCTGCTGGTTAAATTTTGTTAATTTCATATAATTTTGTACGATGAGTTGGTGCGGAATGTTTAGTTTTTTGGCACACCCCTACACATAACCACCTTTTAAAAAAAAATACCAAATCAACATAACCCAACAAATAAAATAAAATAAAATAAACCAACATAGCCCAACAAATAGAAGGAAAAAAAAAAAAAAAAAACTCAGCCTATATAGTTTGATAAGATGAGTGAATTGGGTTAGACTTTATCAAACCATACAGACTGAGTTACTGTGAGATGTCTAATACACAACCACCTTTGCAAAAAAGATAGAAATTTTTTTTTAAAAAAAAAAAAACCTGAATTCCGGGGCAAATTCGAGGCCTCAAGCATTAATCTAAAATAAAATGGTTACCATATGTAATCTTGTCTCCAAAAAAAAGTTTATGATGCTTGTTTTGTCCCAAGCCAAAAGTTTATGTAAAGGGGGCTAAACTGTGTCTTACTCTTCTTCTCAAAATTTTCTATTATTATTATAATTATTTCTAATACAATCCTATTATTGATATTTTGGCTGAGAAATTTATCTATCAACTCTCATTCTCTCTTCTAATGTCTCATTTCTCCTCTCTCTTTTCTTCCACAGATATTTCTAATGCATATTTTGTATTAGGAGCGATGCATCCAATTCTTTTGCTGAAAATTAAAATTTCGAGATGTTTTTATATGTCAATTTTCCTCCACGTTCGAATTTGTCGCTACATTTAAAATTTACTTTCTATCCAACTCATCTCCAAATTAAATCATAGAATATTCTATTTATCCTCAAACTTAGTATTGAATTTTTATTATATTTCTTATTTTCGAACTTCAAATGGGAAAATTTTACTTCCAATCCAACTCATCTCCAGATTAAATCAGAGAATATTCTATATATCCTCAAACTTAGTATTGAATTTTTATTATATTTCTTATTTTCGAACTTCAAATGGGAAAATTTTACTTCCCATCCAACACATCTCCAGATTAAATCAGAGAATATTCTACATATCCTCAAACTTAGTATTGAATTTTTATTATATTTCTTAAATTCGAGCTTCAAATGGGAAAAATGAACGTAAAGTTACAATTCTCACTACAAATACCTTTGTTGTCTTGCTGACCAAGAAGGGGAGAGATTGCTTGCACTCATACATGGAAAGAGAAATCAAATTTATTTATTGTCTTTTTTACAAAAATAAAAATAAAATAAAAAGAAGAACAAATCACTTGATCTTGTTAACAGAGTACTACTGCCAATACTGCAATTTTTTTTCCCTTTCTAATTCTTTTAAATTCATGAGCATTCCATTGCCATTTTCCATAGCAAACTTCTCTACAGAGATGAATTCCTTTTCTTCATCAACTTTTTTTAGGTTATGCGTGACATGTATATAATACATAGTTGTTATTATGTAGCAAATTTGTTAATGAGATACGACAAATCACAACGAGTAATTTTGCTATAATCTTTTGAGAACCCAATATACAATTAATTGGGTTGAACATAAGGCAAATGGTATATAATAGGTAGAAAATAGGAGAGAATAAAAGCCCATAAAACTTTGTTTCTTACATCCTAATAAGGCCTCGTTTGGCAACCGAACTTTTTAGTCAAAAAGTCAAAAAATTACTAAATTAACCAAAAAGCCAACAACTTATACCAAAAAGTCAAAAATTCTCTTTTCTCTCTATTTTTTACACATCTTTTCGTAAAAAACCAAAAAGTAATCTCAAATATACTAATTTTTTTTATCCCATATTTTAACCAAATAGTCAAAAAATTACTAAATTAGCTTGTTCCCAAACGAGGTCTAAGTCGCCTTTTGTGGCAGCACCCAACTCTTATTTCTACCAACAACCTTGCATAGCTATGGGTGTACGTGTACCCATCTTGGTCTGTCTCTAAATTTTCTGAAGATTTTCTCTGCCTAGCAATACCTTGAATCTTGTAAGATTGGTGGTGCTGATCTTTGAGCATTTATATATTATATACATATAACTATGGTAGAAGAGGAAAACAAGAAAGTTGAATCTGAAGCAACTCAGGCGGCGGAAGCACCATCACCCCAAGAGGCCCCTGCAGATGCAAAAGACCACAATGACGCTGCATCGGAGAGAAGTCTTGCCCCAATCCCAGAGGAGAGGAACTCTGACTCCAAATCCCTTGCAACCATTCAAAGTAAAATCCCTCTCTCTCTCTCTCTCTCTCTCTTGGCTGATCGCATAACTGTCTGAAACTGTTTGAGATTTTGGGTTTGTGACAGAGTATTCAGATTCGGCAGATGAAATGAAATCAGGGGATGCAGTTGACAGAGGTACAATTTTTTGGGATTAATGTCTATAATTTTTTTTTTGGTATATGCATGAGTTGATTACTCAATTGAATTGTGACATACACTTGTAAATTTTGGGTTCGTATTGATTGTTTCAGATGCTCTTCTTGCACGGGTTGTAACAGAGAAGAGATTGGCTTTGATTAAAGCATGGGAAGAAAGTGAAAAAACAAAAGCAGAGAACAAGTATGATTGATTACATACATTCTCTTTCACTAATCTGTTTTTGATGGTGGTGGTTGTGGTGGTTGTTGGTGCTAATGTTCTCTTTTCATTGCTTAGCCATTAATCAATTTGCATATAATAGCATAATTGGAAAGTAGTTACTATGTTTCTTGAACACAATTGACAAAAAAAAAAAAAAAAAAAAAAAAAAAAAAAAAAAAAAAAAAAAACTACCATACAATTATATTTCTCCATTGATGTGTAACCTTGGGACTCCCTACATGCACTTCATATGAATTCAATACAATGGATTTAATACTTCACGTTATCATTCAAAGATGGCACAAATTTGTTCTCTTCAAATCCAAGTCTTTTCTTTTTCTTTTTTTTTTTCAATTCATTTATCTATGATAAGCTCTCTTATTTTATTTTATTTTTATTCTATGGGATAATTTTTCTATAACAAGCTTGAATTCTTGAATTATTGTGAGTTAATGCTCCGAAACTATTGATTAGGGCATATAAAAAGTTATCAGCCATTGGAGCGTGGGAGAACAGTAGAAAAGCAATTGTAGAAGCTCAGCTAAAGAAGATTGAGGTAAATATATTTTTTCTCTACTAAATTTCTTAAACAAACATCTTCCGGTTGTTACAGCCTCAACATGATAAAAGCTGCCAAACACATGTTGATCCGTTTCCATTTTTCCACTTTTTCCACTTTTTCTTGTATGTGTAATCTAACGGTAAATAATTTTTCATAATCATTTTCATGATATTTTTTTCATGATACGTAACTTAATTATTTGGAAACAAAAAAGAATTGATTCAAAACTATCTATTTATCGCACTCTCTTACCAGCAAAACTATGATTAAAATCACGCTATTCAAAATTCCCTACATTCTAAAGACATAAGAAAGGTTACAAAATTCACTAGTCCAAATGTCACATTAAAGCATAGAAATTGTTTAGTGCAATTTTATTTGAGTCGATATTGTTCTCATAGAACAGTAACATGAACAGGAAAAACTTGAAAAGAAGAGGGCAGAATATGCAGAGAAGATGAACAACAAGAAGTCTGAAATCCACAAGGCAGCAGAAGAAAAGAGAGTGATGGTCGAGGCCAAACGTGGAGAGGATATTCTCACTGTAGAAGAGATAGCTGCAAAATTCCGTTCAACTGGCAATACTCCAAAGAGGATATTCGGATGCTTTCGCTTCTGATTTCTTAGGCTAAAACCAAACAACACACCTATGGAATTTAACACTTTGTTTTCTTTGTTGCTAGGCTTGTTTGAATTGTTTTCTTGTGTAATAATCCAGTGTGATTTTATACATCTGTCTTATAAGTATGTAAGAAAAGAAAAGAAAAAGGAAGGAAAGACGGAAAAAGAAACAGAGAAAAAAAAAAAAATGTCTCTTTCAATGTTCTATCTCTGCGATAACTTAATCCTAAATGAAAAATCTAGAAATCCGCTAGATATTGATTTATGATTATGTATCAATTTTAAGCAATAAAACAATCCCAATCAAACAATCAAGACAAATCGACACAACGATTTTAACGTGGAAAAACCACAATTGGAGCACCTCCAATTGTGATAAAAAAAACTACGGACAACAGCCACAAAATAATCCACTAAGAAGATATAAAAGAATTACACAGGTATATTCTCAATTACCTAGCGAATCCACGCCCGAATTGAACCAACCCCTATGTGCCTCATCCAGTCCCGTCTTCACCTCGGAATTGTCTTCACGATGAGCCATTTCAGAATCCACCAAAGCTTCAAGCTCGAATTCTTCAGAATTCACTGAAGAACAACTCTCTCTTTTGTGTAGAATAAACAAACAAACCTTTGATGTATGCTTCTTAAACCATGAGTTGAATACTCAATGAAACATCAAAAAAAACTAACAAAATAGCCCCAGATATAAACCCTAGAACCCAAGAAGAAGATCTGGAGACATTACCCTAGATTTGGATTGAAACACGTATTTATAGAAAACTGTCCCGCGATCTCCGCTCGAGTTGGACTGAAACACGTATTTATAGAAAACTATCCCGCGATCGTTGGAATGGCCGCTCGAGCGAACCTACGCTCGAGCGCTGGAAATCCTGCTCGAGCGGGAAAAAAACATCTCGCAGTATTTTTGCAGGCGATCAAACTTCTGGAACTAAGGATTCTTCGCTCGAGCGGACAGGCAATTTAGCATTTTCCTTCAAGGGCGTTGCCCCTCAACCCCGCCGTGGCGCTGCCCCAGACCCGCCAAAGGGCGCTACCCCCTGGACCCCCGCGAGCTGAAGGGGCAGCTCAATCCCCGTCATAGTCAGCGAAGTGGCAATCTTGCAAGAATTAAACACCACAAACTTCTCTGCAAAGCACGATTCGGGTTGGATTCGCATATAATAAACTCGTAGCCTCACTAAAATAAAAGTGCGAAAACAAGTACAACTGAAAGGAGTTTTGTCAAACGGGATTACCAAGAATAAAAACCTAACAATCTCCCCCTTTGGCAATGCCGTGACAAAACACACCTAACAAATAAAATCCTAAGCACCCCAACCCATAACAGCCAACAAAAGCCAGCTTCTTTCTCAAGGTCATGATCTGCAAAACAGTTATTAGTGCCACAATCTCCAAAACAACTATTAGTCTCACAAGAGTATATGAAAAAGCAATAAACATGTGACAAGATTATCTTTAAGTATGAGATGGCAAACATGAATAGATTCAACTTGGAGATTTTAAGACCATGTAGCATGAATAGATGAAAACTAAGACACATGCACCCGTCACCTGACATGAATACATGAAAAACAACTTTCTCCCCCTTTTTGTCACGAATTGACAAAAGAAGCTCAATCAACTAAAGCAAGATCAAGAAGAAAATAATAAGCAAACAGTGCATCGTAACATGCAAAACAACTATAGCCAGTCTCCCTTACCAAACAAATCAAAGTGTCCATGCTAAAAAACTCTTGTAATGATAAACCAAACTCCTCCTCACTAAAAACAATGAACAAGAAGAAAATGACAAAAAATAATATGGTGAAGCAAGTAAGGAATTTTAGATTTGTACCTTGAAACACATAAGATTATCCAAGAAGCACAATTACTTGAAAACACAATGTGCACAGCTTCTAGAAGATTTCTCATAAAAGAAAGTGATGCATTATGTGAAAAACATAGATCCCATGATAAAAGTGTGTGTGTGACTCTTGGAGTTTGACAAACACTAGATTCAAATCCTAATAGTGATATGAAAGCTGGACCTCCGACAAGAGAATCTAAGCACAACTAAGGAAAGTCAAACCACTAGGAATCAAGGGGTATTTGTTGAGTAATAGCGGAGGCTCCCCCTCAATCAATGAATCCTCTTTTTTTCACATTTTTTTTTCTTTTGCACATTTTTTTTTCTTTTGCACACTCATTGGTGGCTGACACGCTCAAGAGTATGAAAACCGAACCAGAGAAGCATGGATATAATAAGGATAGCCTGGTTGGTGACTCTGAGGTAGCCTTTTCCTCATGCCTAGAGTCCAAAGAACAGAGGGGAAAGCCGTGGAGATGCAAAAAGATGGAAGGTGGTTAAGAGACTAAACATCACTCATGATATGCTAGTATAGGTTAATTCCTCTAGAAAAGCAAAAGATACAATGCCAGAAGTTCATAGAGAAAAATAATCACTAAGGCGGAAGACTCCAAAATTTGCTAATCCAAGAGTGTGTACAGAATGAGACATACTAATCAAAGAACACACACTCCAAAATGAGTAATGACCACAGAAATCACACACATATTAACATGTAATAGATATTCTCATCAATTCCAATATGCACCAAGGACATCTCAAAAATTTCAAGCTTGCAAAACCACATACTAAGAAAATCTTTTTGGTTTTTTTTTTTTTTTCCAAAAATAAAGCAAGACAAAAATGAACAAGCTCACATTTTTTTTTTCCAAACAAAGCAAGACAGAAAACAAACACACTTATTAAATGACTCAAAAAGAAAACACACAGAAACCCAAAAACTAAAATGAATAAACAAATTAACACAAGTCAAGTTTTCTCACCCAAACCGCTTTAGTATGAAGAAAGTTGTGAGAATTTCAATTCTTGGGTAGTGTCTTGACGTTGTGGTTCTCTTCCCTTTCAATGGGAACCCGTCTAGACGTGGTTTCCAACTTCCTATTTATAGGTCTAGGCAAATGCAAACTCGCTCTATGTTTGGTCTCAAGCACATCAAAATAACGAGGTCTAATATGACCCTTAACCTCATTACTGCTAATGAAGTGTCTCTTACCCCACGAGATGTTGGAATTTATTCCATCTCTATGAGACACTTTTCCATGCAACTTATAACAATAAGGGCGAATATGACCATGCATACCACAATGATGACAAAGAAAAACAAAGTGTACCTTCTTTTCTTTGGCCTTACCAACTTTAGGAAGTTTGAGAAGTCCATCCTTATGTTGAATTTTTTGTTCTCCCTTTCCATGAGTTCTTGTATCATGAGATGTGGAAGCACTTTGTTTTTGCTCTTTCTTACCACCAAAGTCAATGCCACTCTTGTTAGAATAAATTTGTTGAGACCCAATGATATTGTCCAAATCTTTGATCCACTGTTCCAAAGACCAATGGTAGCCATAGCACACTTGAGTTCCTCATCTTTCTTGATCATTAGTTCTTCCAAAGCAACTTGAGACATCTTGAGAGTTTCAATCTTTTCTTCATATGTTGCATAGATTTGCTGAAGCTCATTCCTCTCTGTCTCACGAGTCAAGAGTTTTGCACAAAGAACTTGTCGATCATTAGAAATCTTAAGGGCATCATTCCTAGCCTCAGAAATCTCTTTCTTTAATTTGACATTCTCACTTTCACATGCTTTGAGTTTCGTAGTGAGTTTGTCATTCAATTTGGATAAGTTAAAAGATTCCTTATACAACTTTTGATATGCTTGTTGAAGTTCTTCATCTTCACTCCCCGAGGATTTATCATCAGTGGCATTCTCAATTGGGCTCTTCGGATACTCTATTCGTCCATCAGTTTCGGAAGCCGCCATGATGGCAAGGAATTGTTTATGTCCCTCTTCACCTTGATCTTCGTTGTCACTTTCATCTTCATCAGATTTTGATTCATCATCCCAAGTGATAACGAGGGCTTTCTTCTTCTTCAAACGAGTGGGGCATTCTTGAGCAAAGTGGCCAAATCCTTGGCATTCATAGCATTGGACTCTTTCAGAGTTCTCTTGTATCTTTCCTTTCTCCTTCTTGGCTATAGAATTAATTTTGAGTTTGTCTTTGCCTTTGGATTTATGAGTATGAGTAGAATCCAAAAGATTAGGATTTTTTTTCAAAAAAAATTTTTTAAATTGTTTTACAAAAGCATCCGTAATCTTGGAATCTATCTCATAATCCTCATCAGAATCCTCTCCAACTCTATGAGCACTACTAAAAGCAATAGTATCTTTTTGTTTCTTTTTGAAATTTCTATGTGCCTCAAAAGTTTGGAGATTTCCAACCAGATGATCCAGCTTGAGGTTATCAACATCTTGAGCCTCCTCAACCGCCGTAACTTTTGGTTGGAACCGATTGGGCAAGGACCTCAAAATTTTTCCTACAATCTTAGATTCCGGTATTTTTTCACCTAAATTGAAGCTGGAATTTACAATGTCACTCAATTTCGCATAAAAGATAGGGGATGGACTCCACTGATACAGCTCATATGCTTGTCAGATAATGTGTTGATATAGCTCATATGCTTATCTTTGGAAGTGTTGATACAGCTCATATGCTTGTCATTGGAAGTGTTGATATAGCTAAAATGCATATCTGTTGAAATGTGGATACAGCTTGTATGCTTATCTGTTGGGATGTTGATACAACTAGTATGTTTATCTATTGTAAAAATGGAAAATGTTTAATATGAGTCATTGTCTCATATAAGTGGTTGGCTAGGTTCTGAGCCGTTGATGTAAATTGTGAAATTAATAAGAAATGGAAATGGGTTATGAATTGGTTTATGGAAACTGAACATTTATCAATTGATAATATCTTAGTCATTGCTCATACTGTGTTTAGCATATCTCTACTGGGCGTTGGCTCACCCTTTATGGGACATTATTTTCAGGTACAAGCAGTATGCTACCTCCAAGGACATAGCTTGGATGATGATGAGAGTTGAAGACTCTTTTTGTTTATTTTGATGTATTACATGTAAATTCAAGCCAAGGGCTTAATATGTATTGAGTTAGCACTCTTCTTTTTGTAACCAAGTGTTAACTTGGAAAGCTGTAAGCCCATAGGGCATTTGCTTTTGTTGTTAACATGTAATACAGTTGTAAGAATTACTCTAATGAATAGAGATGGTCGATTTCTTTTGTATCAATGCATGTCTAAAAAGTTGGGTATTATGTATTATTCTCAGGGCATTACAACTTGGTATCAGAGCGTACCGGGTTCA